TATTTCTGAGCAGACAACGAGTCAGTGACGTGGCATGCTCAAAGGGAAACGTAAACCTTGTAGCATAGTAATCTTACTTCAAGCATTACTTCAATCTGCTTTAGCCTTCGGTAGACGTGTTTTGCTGGCGTTAAAAATTCTGAACCAAAACTTAATGTAGTATTTTGTGATAGGATTTTATTATCAAATTAACCAAACACCAAAGCCGCATAGTAAATCTAAAATATTGCTACGAATGTTCTATTTAAATAGGTAGTTTTAGTAGAATTAGAATTAAAACTATTGTATTTCCCAGTGCAGTGCAGCGCAAGACAAATTTTTACAGAAAGCTATACCGGAAAAGTAAGAATATTGGCGTCATGTATTTTACATTGAGTAAATGGATATCTCAGTAATTTGTATTGAAATTGAATAAATGTATCTAACTGATCACTATGTTAGCTGTAACCGTAATTCCATCCTCTTATTGCTTTCCAGAAATCTCGAGAAGCAGAAATTACTAGAAATTGTCCGAGACCGGTTGAAAATTATAAAAAGGCAGGAGAAGTATCTCAGTTTAGTTGCTTAGGTATTGTTGTTGCGAGTTGTTATTTCCGCGTGAATTGAGAAATCCGACTTAGCTTTCATTGCATTGTACTTAACGTTTTTAGTAGTTTGAAGTATGACTATTGATTATATTGCGTGATATTGTGAACACTTGTACGAATATCTCTGAGGAAAATTCCAGCGTTTTGATACATTTCTTTTGATAAGAATAAATTTTATTAACCTATTTTCGGATTCAATCTGTTACGAACCCGAGCGCACGCAACAATATTTAACAAAAACCAGGTATATATTTTTTCTAAATTAAGTAAGCTAAATTAATATGAATAAAACTAGTTTATTATATTATAAGAGACCATAACGACAAACATAATTGTCCTTAAAACCGAAAAGGGGTTAAATTTTATAAATAAAAATTATCTAACTAGTTAAAATACTTTTAAATAAGGATTCTTTACTTGGAGAGAAAGACGTTTTAATTAAAAGAATTTTAATCTGTAATATAGAAATCAGAAATAAGACAATAAGGAAATAAAGATGAAAAAAAAATATTTTCCAACTCTTCAAAGGATGCTAAAATATATAATTTCCCTGTTTACTAAGCCGAGTTTCGAAGATGTTTTTGGCAAAGTTTTGTAATTGATATTCAGAAAACTGACTGAGAAAAAATTTAAGATGAAATTTAAGATGAAAAAATTTAAGATGAAAGGACTTTTCAGTAACGGGAAAAAAGCTAACAAAAATATGCAGGTCTTCAGAATGTTTTTTCCGTTTCCCTGAGAAAATTTCAACATAAGTCATTATATTTTACCGTTAACTCTGGCTAAGAAACAGAAGTAGCGGAAATATAAAACGTCCAAACGAAGTTAATTATTAATCTGAGGTTAAAATAACAGTTGAAGAGTAGAACTCATAAGAGACATCATTATCGAAATTCTCGACTGTGAAATTCGAGCAAATGACTTTTACGCAACTTTTAACAGTCATTAGTTCTAGTTTGGTTTAAGTGTTTGAATCAAAAGTGCAGAGGTTCACATTTAATGAGGGCTTTTCCGTAGTTTGGTACGGCAACTTATAAATTTCTGCGCTTTAGTTACGTCACCAACCCTGTTAATTTAACTTACGGATTAAAAGATTTCATTTACTGTGGAAAGCGGGAATCTTATCAGCTAAGGAGATTATTCCAACATGTTTCATAAAGGGGGAGCGCCCGTTGGCAGGATAGTAATCTCTTTATAATATTTAATCAATATTTGGGAGTCCGCTAGTAATATTAATGCACAATCGTCAGGCTTGTTAGTAAGTGAAATTTTATCGCTTTCTCGAAAAATATTGCGTTAGAAAGGATTTAACCACACTTAAATGAGAATAAAAGCTGTTAAATGAACAGTATTTATTACATTTAATTTACTTTAATTCAGAAAAGAAATTCAACAAGCTCTTGCCGACGCTATATATATATATATATATATATATATATATATATATATCTATATATATATATAAAGAAAAGAGAACAAACTATAAAAAACCAATGTGGTCAAAAATTTGGGCATTGAGCTGCAAAATTATATACATACATATATACAGTCAAAAGTCGTTAATTCGGACACCCATAATCCGGAATGATCTATAATCCGGACCTCAAAGGTAAAAACTTTCTGCGCATGCGCTGCGTTGACACATGCGCATAGGCGTTTACGCTTGCGCGTAATACCTTTTACCACTGCGCATATGCGTTTGCGCAAGAGCAGAATACGTTTTAGGGCGCACGTTTTATGTATAGCGGACGGTATAATCTAAAATTATCTAATTATCTATTTCAGTTAATGTTGATGATTGCGTTGTTCCTTAATCTTCGAATTGGATCCGGTTTATTATTTTTTGCGGACTGTAAGAGCAATTTTATAAAAGTAAACTTGAACTTTCGATTATGTCAAATAGAATTTCCGTTTCTGGTGCTCCCAAAGGATCGTACAAAACGAAAGTATGTTTCGATGTCCATCAAACAAAAAGTGGAATTGTTGCAAAAAATGGATAAAGACATGAAGAATGTGACAGAGAGGTTAGTGAAAACGAAAAAAATTCGATTGACAAGTTAGTCGGTATTCTCGGCACAACAGTTAACGGGACTTGAACAACGGAACTTTGTAACTGAACAAGAAATTGTGTCTGATTATAGAATTAAAGAGAAAGTATTATCACATAAAACGAAGCAACTTAAAACAACTTACATTGAAAGAAATGTTTAATAAAGTAAACAAATAAATATTAAGCTTTTTTTTTTGTAAATTTTGATACTCTTTAGATTATAATTGTTATTTATTTCATAAATTAAGGTTTCATATTTTTAATTTTAGAATTTCTGCATGCCATATTGCGAGATTTAAACTGATGATCTATAATCCGGAAAAATCGATAATCCGGATTCGCCGAAGTCCCGACGAGTCCGGATTAACGACTTTTGACTGTATATATATATATATATTGGAACAAAGAATTGAGACTAAAGTTTTTGACATAGTTTATTTAAATAATTGAAAAATGTGTCACGTACAGTTTCAGTTGTCTGTTTCGGCGAAACGCATGATGGAGTTGGCTTAGTTCGAAGTTCATTAAAAAAAATATTTCTCCTGACGTGCCATAGTGAATTTCGAATTCGGCTAATCCACCATTTACCGCTTCTTAATTTTATTTTTAACTCGATTAGTTAGTTAATACTTTTACTATGTTTTAAATATACTTAATTAATTTAGCATATAGCTTACTATTATTGTTGATTTTTACTTGCAAATAATCAAATGTTGTATTTTTCTCTTTTAACACATTTCATTGCAATTAATTTTGCTTATGTTAAAGTTTTAACGGAACCACAGTATTTAAGCAGCTTTTTAGCGTTCGTACTAAAATTTATCTTTTAATTTCCTTAATTTTGCAGCACAATGCGTAAAATTGTTAACCACATAGGTCTGGTCTTTTATCGTTTGTTATATATATATATATAATGACAGCACAATTTAGGATGCACTGGTATAAGAACACTGAGATGTAGATGCGTAGAAATGCTGATTGCGAAAATACTGATTTTGAGAACGTCCACCTATTTTGAACAAGAAGCAGTTGAGCCTGATTAAATTAATTTTTCTTTTATTTAAATTCACATTTGTGGCCACAATTCACTTGGCACTCCGATCGTGCCTATTTCCAGAACAATTTTGATACTATAGCGATAGAAGCGAATATAGGTGATTCCAGCAAAGCGTCTCGCCAGGAGGAAAGCACAAGCCAAAGTGACGCATCAATTCAGAGGAAGAAGGGAAGGATCAAAAGGTTTTGGTTTACAATTACGTTGGCAAGAGATATCTGCATTAAGCATTACATACGATTGCATATCTGCATTAAGCGTTACATAAGATTGCTTGATTCGTTTGAATGACGCAGTGTAGACCTGTAGCGCTATTTTTAAGACAGAAAGATGAAGTCCTCAAATTAAATACAAAAATAAAACAGGTTATAGCCTGTAACAGGTAAACAGGTTATTAAATTTAGAAGTTTGCTTTCACATTTTTTATCTTACACACACACACACATATATATATACTCTGTTGCAAAAAATATATACACCCAGAAAGAGTTGGGCCACAACTACGGAATGCAGCATTCAAATGTGGTTTGGCGAGTTGTGTAAATGATTAGCTTTGCAGCACCAATCAGCATAGTGGAGCGATTGAGCGCGAATCTGTTTTGCGCAGTTGGTAGAATGTAAAAGGGCATTGCTGGAGTGACGAGGATTTAGAACCGCTCTGACAGCTTGGATACATGACATTGTAACGAAAGATGCCTTTCAGACGTACTCCACGGTATTACAAACAGTTATCAGACTGAGAGGGGTGGCATCATAAGGCTAAAAGAGGCTAGTTGGTCGAGCAAGCTGATCGAGCGGTATATTGGGCGCAGCGATATGGTCGTTGTCAGTTGTTGGACCCAGTGGTTCAAAGAAGACATAGTCAGTAGTGGCTTGGGACGTCCCCGTGCCACCAGTGCGTGAGATGATCATACAATTTAACAGAGCTGCCATGTCCTCACTAACAGTTATGCTATCATCGATTCAACGTTATTTGTCAACTCGCAGACATCTCGGAATATCGAGGGATACACGTGGCAGAAGACTAGGTGATGCTGAGTTCACATATCGACGTCCATTAAGTGCTCTTGCCACTGCACCATAAGCAGTGTCGTCTTGCATGTTACCGCTCAAGCTGTGCAGTTGGAGAAATGTGATCTTCAACGACGAATCACGTTTTTCTCTCAATGCTGGTGACCGTCGCATACGCGTCTGGAGACGGAGGGGTGAGCAAACTAATGTACCATTCGTTACCGAGCCGCACATAGCCAGAACATAGGATATGACAGTCTGGAGAGCGAACAGCTGGGACAGTCTTTCCCCATTAGCCATGCTGCGAAGTACTTTGATTGCTCGCAGGTGGGTTGACGACATACAGTAGCCGATCGTACTGATGCTAGCAGGTTGTCCAAGTTCTATTTTCTAAAAGGACAACGCTCAGCCACACACAACAGAACTTTCCAACAATGTCTTCGACTGGCCTACCAGGTCTCTTCATCTGTCGCCTATTGAACATGGTTATGGTATGTTGGGTTGGCAAATTCAGTCAAGTGCAAATATGTCCCAACTCGTTGACCAGTTGCCCAATTTGTTGCACAATCTACCACAGAGGGACATTGGCAACTTAATAGACTCTATGCCCAGCCGAGTATCGGCGCCACGCATTTTTTTTTGACCCAGTTTTTGGTCATTTCCTTACCTATTCGAACTATATACTATTTCCGAGTTTCGTAGTTGTGGCTCAATTCTTTGTGTTTGCATGTTTCTGAAACAGATTATATATTTTCTGACCGTTTTCTTGCTCACATCTTTTGCCTTGATCACAATGGTGCAGAATAATCATGCTATAGCTATTTCTGAAAGTTAGTTCACATTTGTGAGAAAAGTCGGATTTTGTGTCAGAATACCCATGTTAGAACAAAACAATATATTAATCTAATGCATATTCTAAGTCGAGCTTTCGAGACATGAAAAACGCAAGTTGAATTTCGTCAATCGACCCAGTAGAACGAGAGAAATAGAACTGTCTCTTTTTTTCGCAATGTACATTATTTACGCTCTCTTATCAGTCAAAAAATTACTTAGGAAAACCATTCTAAAGTATTTTGTCTTCTTGGAAGTGAAAATATGTATCTATATAAAATGTTTCCTACGATTTCGAGAGGTAAGATTTGAAATGGCAAGGGAATTGGTTTTCCTAAAAGAAAATGGTTTAATATTTAGGAAGTATATAGCTTGAGGACTCGGAAAATTTGAGAATAATTTAAAACGCAAACACTTGAAGATGAAATTCCGAATGAGGAATTACAAAGACAAATATAAAAGAAGAACTTTAATCTTCTTATACGCTAGAGGGCGTCTGGTATTAATTTTATAGATTACTTCGTTAAATTGAGAATAGTGCAGCGAAAAAAGATTTCGAGTCCGTTCGAAAGAAAAACATTTTAGATTCGTAGGTTTAAATAAAATCTGTTATCAGTATTATTACATGTGACTTAAAAATGAATCTTTATAATTACATTAAAAAGATTTATTTCATTGATAAGACACTATCTTTTGCGCATAATACTGATATAAATTTATGTAAATATTCAGTTTATTTTTAGTCTAAAGGGCTAATTTGCCCAGAACTACTACTAATTTCGTTTTGCCGTTTTGCGTTGAAACATTATAAATGACTGCTTGACTTCTCAAGGTGCTGCCACCAAATATTAGAACCCTGTATTATATTTAAAGAAATTTAATAATGAAGAATCTGCATAGATGTATGCATGTTTCTCGCACTGTGATAAAACAAAGGTACCTAGAACGATCAAATTTTGAATAATGTACGTCTCCGCCCGAATATGTGCATCTCGAAGCCCAAATTTGGAATTTGTTTTATTATCTATTTCATAATATGTAAAGCATTTATGAGTTTTCTACTTCATATTTTGTAAAAGATTTGAATTTTTCACCAAGAAATTCAACGATTTCAAAGCAAGCAATGGCAACACTGTACGTGAAAAAAAAAAAAAAAAAAAATAAAAAAAAAAATCTCCAGCGCGCGAGACTGTGTATAGGAAATTCTGAAGATATGCTCTTTTAAAATTATTTTGTGATATTGCTGTTGAATTGAATTTTATGATTTAAGTACGAAGAATATGAGATTTAATAAATACAGGTAACACACAAAATGTTAAAAAAAGCGTCTCTTGGATGTGATATAAAATCTGAAATCTTTCAGATTTCTTTTATTATATTTTTTGTTTTTACACACTTTTACTGCATCAAGGGCTGCGTTTATTTACTAGTATTTATGTATTATTGCAACAATCTTAGTAAAAATCTTAGTACAAATTTTCAGAATTCGCCAAACTCTAACAACCATGCTCATAACAATCCTTTACTCGAGCAAAATCGCCATTTCTATATGCATGCCTTTTGTTGTACTCCAAACTCTAAAACATTTATAGACATATCGTTGATAATTTTACATTCAACTCAATTCTAAAATACTGCTGGTGGGATTTGCCTGCAATGGAAGAAACTGAGTTAACATTTCTGCAAGAGTACAGGTTAGGTTAGGCTAGGTTATTTAATCACGGCAAAGCCTCGAGGGCTATTTGGCTAAGGGAAGGAATGCTTTCGTGGAGGACTTTCTAAGGGAAACTGGCTCGTATATACGTTACACATGGGAAAAACCACTAAAACACCAATGCCGCCAGCCCGTTCGCGGGATTCGAACCTCGGATGGAACTACCAGTGCTCAGCGACTTTACCGCTCGGCCGCTGGTGATCTGCAGGAGTACAGGATAACCGGCGCTAAATGCCGTGTTTGGGGAAATTTTGGATGTTTTTTTAAGCGAAAACAGATCGGTGTGTACATGGGAAGAAAAAACGAGCTGAAAAGTTAGAGAAGGATTTCAAGAAGAATGCGAGTACATTAATTTTTAATATTATGTACGCCTTATTTTATAATTAACATTTGTATTTAAAATATCTAAAATATGTTTTCTTTTGAGATACTAATTACTATGTTTGCCGACTCGAGATAAATATCAATAATTTGGAAATGCTTAAAAGAAACTTCACAAAAATCGTCAAATTGCCTCCACTAGCTAATTTCCATCTTTTCTTTTTTTTTCTTTTTTCTTTTTTCTTTTTTTTTAAGAATCACAAGTTTACACAAAAGTAGGATTGTTAATACGTAAGTATCTATTTACTTATTTGTGAATTTTATGCAAAAATATTATTGTACATTCTTATTTTTTTCGAACTTGGGATCGTTTTTGTGCTCATAAGTGTCTATTTCGCAAAGTACGCTATAGACCTTGGCCTCTCCGAATTGATCGAAGTTTCAGTTGTGAAGATTAGAAATAAAACATGGGCATAAAATCTACTGAGGATTTTTGCTCACAGGTTTTCGCCAAGTTGGTGATGTTCTAAAAGTTCCTGGAAAACGCATCTTTAATGTTCTAGGACCTATTTTTCTTGAAGTTTCGCAAAATACTTAGGATAGTAATAACAGGGCTGCGTTTAACCATGCTTTCAGTTAGTTGAACTAGTTCATTTTAGAGTCATATGACTACACTGCTATGTGACGATTGCATTACACTTTGCTTTGTGATTGATGTTTTAGATTTGTGACTCACCTGCGGCCGAGTCGTTAAGTCGCTGAATACTGGTAGTTTATGACTTACAACTGGACTTGCTGTATAACCTGCGATACTCAAATTTCTCTACATTTCTGTTATAATTTAATAAACTAGCTGCCTAAAATACTTATCATATATATAAAAAACATAATTGGTCATGCATGTGCAAAGTTGAGCAGAACTACCGACACAGTCTTGCCGGAGAGATTGGCGAGGCCAATTACCCATAGCTGAATTGGTAGGAAGATGAGACAACAGAAGAAACAAACGTGAGGGGTGGCTTGGTTGTTTATTGAGATTACAGCAAAGCACTCTAGGGCTGTCTGCTTAAGGAGAGGGATGCCTTCGTGGAGAACTTTCTAAGGGAAACTGGCCCATATACACGTTACACATGGGGAAAACCACGAAAACATCCATGGAGCCAGCCTATTCGCGAGATTAGAACCTCGGACCGAACTACCAATGTTTAGGGACTTTATCACTCGGCCGCTGGTGCTCCCCATGAGTGATGGAATAGTGGCATGCTGGTGGTTTGTTCAAAACTTTCTGCAACTTAAATCGAGATGTTTGACTTCTCTTCAGGAGTTTATCCATGTGCTGTATCATGTATTAAGTATAATCATATATAATTTATTAGAAGTCTTATGCAATAACATATATGACTTCGTATTTACATTGTATTATGTTGAATATATCGTTATCTGTTATTTACACAAATGCAACAAATCTTTATTGCCAAGATATACTACAACTGTTTAAACTGTATCATGTCATATGCACATCTATTTTTAACTGGCATAATATTTTCAAAGTATTTTACCGCAAACATATTAGTCGATACTTTTGTATTCATCATTACTGTAATCTGCTGTAAATTACTGTATTTTTGTTATCCTATACTGTATTTTTATCATACTGTATCGTATTTTTATCATATTATAATCTCTCTATAGTTATATGTTGACTTCTCCTCAGGAGTTTATCCTCGCGCTGTGTCATGTATTAAGTATAATGATATATCACTTATTAGAAGTCTTATGTAAATAACACATATCATTTCAACTACATCGTATTATGTTAAATGTATCGTAACCTGTTATCTACACAAATGCAACAATTTTACTGCCAAGGTATACCACAATTGTTTGTAATCAATCATTCATTTTCAATTATGTACTCACGTATTTGAATTAGTGTTGTCCTAAGGGTTCTCTAGATCATGGTGGACGTGGTGCTATACTAATTAACCGCATGGTAGAGGCATAGTGCCCCCGTCCCTTATCCTTATCCTTATCCTTAAGTCGTCGAGTTTTTTCTACAGTTTTGTTAAACAGAATGATGACATTATGTTTAAATGTTGAAGTGTTTCAATCTACTTTGTGAAGATGGTATTATATGTAAAATATGTAAATATTTTTTTTGTTACTTTGTAATGTGCAAGAGTGTGCAGTATCTTTCTTTGTTTCTAGAATATGTATCTCAACATGGGAATCAACTCTAAGGGGTTAGAGGGTTCCATGACAGTTCCTTACATTAATATATAATGATTATGTAAGGATTATGTTAATTTTATTAACAGTTAAATTTTAAGTTTAAAATTCCTTTTCTGTCAAATTCTTAACTTCAACTTACAACTTTCGGCCAGAACGTAGTTTTAGAATCACGTCTGAATACGTAATGAAGAAGAGCGGTATTTAACCGCGAAGTTACTCGTATTTGGTCTTAGAGAGAGAGAAAATCAGAGTTTCTGATTTACGCGCGTCTGCCTTTTTGGTCATTCTCTCTCTCAAAGCTGTTATTATGCTCGGCCGTATTCATACGACCTCTACTTGATAAGCTTCGTAGTCAAATAGAGTTAAGGGGCCAACTAGTCCAGAATCTTGATAGCTTCGGCTATATTTCTTTAGTTAATCTTAGTTTTAGTTTAATTCTTAGTCTCTTAAGTTCAAGCCCAAGTGTCGGCTTTGATTGTACACTCCAAGACGGAGTTTTGTTAAATCTTATTGGAATAATAAAGGGTTAGTTACCGTTCTATTTTGTTGCTTCTTGTCACCCGAACTTGAGCAATTATTCGCTAACTAGTTCTTAAGATTCGTCTACTACAATAACTACAATAACTACAATAACGTCTACTACAATAACGAGCGGATCTTTCTACAATAACTGAGAATTAAACTAGTGAAAATCTTACATTTTTAATGAATTTTATTTATTTTACTTTTATTCGACACGTCTAGTTAGTTGTTGTAGTAGTAGTTGCTTATGATCACTTGTCTGACGTAGTCAGCCCAAGCCGCCTACCTTTCGCAACAGTCTTGAGCACTTTTCAAGTGACAGTGCGATTTAGCTCAGTCGCTCCCCCAATTTTGATGGAAAGCATCCCGGAGGGGGAGGGGATGGATCCGAGAGTCTCCCACCCATCTCCTTTTCCACCAAACCACATGGGAGGACTTTTGGTTTGCCGCATATTTACAGTGCCGCTATGCCGCACCGACACTATACATTTGCAAACATCCATGCCTTCTCCGAGATTCGAAGCCTGGCCCTTCGGCACGGCAGTCAGCGACGCTAAACACTATACTGGTTACTTGGAAGCAGCTCAAATTATACAACGCCTTTGTAATTCTCCACACTGACAGCATGCTGTCTTTCTGAAGCAAAAACTATCCATATGATTTGTGCCAATTCATCATTCTACGACCATGATTAATCTTATTGTACACGATCCATTTTTTGTCACCAGTGATAATTCGTTTCAAAAAAGGGTGGGTGCTTTATATTTGAAATTCCTATCGGAAATATCCACTAGACATGTTAAGTTGATTAATTTCAATTCGTGGGAAACCCATATATCGAGCTTCTTGACATGTCCAGGCCATCTTATGTGGAATTACGTTTCAGTATTGTTGTGTGCGATGAATTCAATATTTTTTGGGATGTCTCGGACAGTTACATGACGGTTCTGTTTAATTATGACTTTTATTTTCTTATCGCCAGCTTGTTACTTACTTACCACCAGCTGAGTTGCTGTACTGCCTGCTATATGACTATCAGCATTTGTACTCAATTGGTGGAGGATTTTATTGCCTCCAGGCCTAGCCAAAAATCTCTCTACAATATTAAAATTTGTAAAGGATTTTATAAAGTTACTTCGGAAGATGGGTATTTGCGACCTGTGGTTATAAACGAGACCCTGTCAAGAATTTGACCGTACTGAATGAGGATTTTAGCAATACTTTATGCATTGTGATTCTGAGTTTACAGAGAATCAGAATAGAGGTCAGTGGTAGCTTAAATATAAGAAGTTATTCTGATGCATTATTCTGATATATATCAAATGGGTATATCAATGTACACTACACACACACACAAAAAAAAAAAAAAAAAAAATAAAACGAAAATTCTCTATCTCCCGTTCTACTAGGCCGATTGACAAAATCCAAATTGCGTTTTTCATGTCTCGAAAGCGCGACTTAGGATATATATCAGATTTATATATAGCATTGTTCTAATATAGGTAATTTGACACAAAATCGGACTTTTTCTGAAATAACATACCATTTTCTTTCCATATTTCGATTTTACGATTTAAACTATGCCTACATATTAAATTTTGTAAAATATGGTGCGAAATTTACGAAGAAATTCAAAAATTTATCTTGGCTCAATTTTTTTTCAGTTTGCGCCAAGAAATATTCCCTTGGCGCACTTTTTAATATATGGCAACCTATTTTCGTTTCCCTTCCATTATGCCGGAGCGGAAAAAATGCACCTGGTTCCTACCTTTTTACATTGTGCATGAGCGGGAAAATAGTCGCAGCGTTCTTTTAAATAATTTTAGCAAAGTGTCTAAACCACATTTGATGTTTTATTGCTTTCAACAAGTATGCCATATTTCAAAACAGGCCAATATATAAATTCACGTATATCTTCGGAAATTTTGAATAAAAAACTGTAATTTTTGGTAGGTATGCTTAGAAATACATCTACTTTAAGATGATGGAAAAAATTGTATAGGTCATCATTCAAAATTTTCTTTGAAAAATTATTTAAAAGTACAAATTTTAAAAGTAAATCATAAAAAAATGGGTGAATTTTATTCGGAAGGAACCTGAATTTCGAAATGTGAAAGGAAGAATCAAATAAGTTTAATAAAAGAAAGACAGATTAATAAATATATGCCAAACTCAATTAACATTCAGGAGTTAAAATTTTGAAAGCTAATTTTTTAAAACCTGTTCGTGCGATTTTAACAAAACTTGGCAATTTGAGTCGTAGAATGGAAATATGGAAAAAAATTGGTATGTTATTTTAGAGAAATTCCGATTTTGTGTCAAAATACCTATATTAGAACAATGCTTTATGTAAATCTAATACATATCCTAAGTCGCGCTTTCGAGACATAAAAAACGAAAGTGAATTTCTTCAATTGACCCAGTAGAACGGAAGATATAGAACTCTCTCTCTCTTTTGTTTAAGGCAGTGTACGTCATATGTGCTGTTCACATATTTGCAGAGTTCCTACGTAATATTTGCTTATCCTATTCATAAAAAAATAAAATATTTCGAAATATTAATTTTTTCATTTTATGTTAAAATTGACTGTCAGCTAATAGTTATAAGTAAAAATGTATGAAATTTGTTTCCATAGCAACCTAAACATGTCATCTGCCAAAGCACAAACGAAAATGAAATATACAATTGATAGAAGAATAACAAAAAAAAATAACGTTTTCTATTTGTGCAAACTAAAATACCTTTTTTGCCAGCGCAATAGCTCATAATATAAAATTTCTCCCATTTTCTATTCGAAAAAGCCTTTAAATTTTAGTAGTTTTGCAGTTACCTTTTTTTAATACTTAGTTGATTAGCGCTATGCAATTAATATTTGAACATTTATAACGATAAACGCAAGAGGGACACTGAATCAGTTGAAAGTCATTTATGAATAATTACTAAGCTTTCAACGTTAAAGAGATAATTTGTATATATGTAGTAAATTTCCTAAAAGATAAAAGCTGAATTAATTAATAAGACCATTAAATACTGAAAAGGTTTTAGAAAAGCTAAATCACCGCTTCACTTAAAAGAAAAATTGCTGAGTTTCAAAGTAGGGAAAAAAAAAAAAAAACGAAACGATGCAGAAAGCAAGCCGCACTCATCACTGTCGTGTAGGAAGGGAAAAAAGTAAAGACAAGAGGAAAATATCAAGAGCAAATGAAAGCTTTTTGAGATCGGAGAAGAGGTGAAAAAATAAAATTTCGAGATATAACAGTAAAATTGGAAGGTTTTGATGAATATGTAAATCTTCTAGAAATTTTCCCCAAGGTTTAAATGCTGTAAATATTTTATTTTAAAGAAAGTTATACACCTTATTCAGAATCCAGTAGTCAACGATGACGACAATGACAACCGCAAGAGTCCTTCTAGTACTGCTAGTGTTGCTAGTAGTTTTCTAGTACTGATAGTGCTGCTATTAGTTCTAGTACTGCTAGCACTTCTAGTAGTTCTAGTGCTGCTAGTGTTTCTAGAACTGCTACTGCTGCTAATACTGATAGTGCTGCTAGTAGTTCTAGCACTTCTAGTGCTTCTAGTAGTTCTCGTACTGCTTTTAGTGCTTCTAATACTGCTGCTAGAGCTGCTAGTACTTCTAGTATTGCTAGTGCTCCTAATACTGTTAGTGCTGCTAGTAGTTCTAGTATTGCTAGTGTTCTAATACTGCTAGAGCTGCTAGTATTTCTAGTATTGCTAGTGCTTCTAATACTGCTAGAATTGCTGGTATTTCTAGTATTGCTAGTGCTCCTAGTAGTTCTAGTATTGCTATTGTTTCTAATACTGCTAGAGCTGCTAGTATTTCTAGTATCGCTAGTGCTCCTAATGGTGTTAGTGCTGTTAGTAGTTCTAGTATTGCTAGTGTTCTAATACTGCTAGAGCTGCTAGTATTTCTAGTATTGCTAGTGCTTCTAATACTGCTAGAGTTGCTGGTATTTCTAGTATTGCTAGTGCTCCTAGTAGTTCTAGTATTGCTATTGTTTCTAATACTGCTAGAGCTGCTAGTATTTCTAGTATCGCTAGTGCTCCTAGTATTTCTAGTGCTCCTAGTAGTTCTCGTATTGCTATTGCTTCTAATACTGCTAGAGCTGCTAGTATTTCTAGTATCGCTAGTGCTCCTAATGGTGTTAGTGCTGCTAGTAGTTCTAGTATTGCTAGTGTTCTAATACTGCTAGAGCTGCTAGTATTTCTAGTATTGCTAGTGCTTCTAATACTGCTAGAGTTGCTGGTATTTCTAGTATTGCTAGTGCTCCTAGTAGTTATAGTATTGCTATTGTTTCTAATACTGCTAGAGCTGCTAGTATTTCTAGTATCGCTAGTGCTCCTAGTATTTCTAGTGCTCCTAGTATTTCTAGTGCTCCTAGTAGTTCTCGTATTTCTATTGCTTCTAATACTGCTAGAGCTGCTAGTACTTCTAGTATTGCTGGTGCTCCTAATGGTGTTAGTGCTGTTAGTAGTTCTAGTATTACTAGTAGTTCTAGTATTACTAGTGGTTTTAATACTGCTAGTACTCCTAATGATGTTAGTGCTGCTAGTAGTTCTAGTATTGCTAGTGCTTCTAATGATGTTAGTGCTGCTAGTAGTTCTAGTATCGCTAGTTCTGCTAGTAGTTCTGTGGAGACATTAGGTATTTTTTGGAAGCCGGAGTCACAAAAAATGAGCAACACCCTCGCCGGGAATCGAAATGCGGACCTCTGGAATACACGTACAGCGTGCAAACCACTACACTAAGAAGGGGCATGCTAAGAAGGCGAGAGAAATACCTTATATACTCCCCCTTCTAAAGGACGACGAGGTTTTAGGGGACCCAGTCGCCAAATCCTCTGTGTGGAGAATCATTATCCACCACCCTTTTAGTTCGGGCGCCACTGTAGAGACATTAGGTATTTTGGGAGCAGGATCCATGAAAAATATGCAACGCCTTTGCCGGGAATCGAACCACGGACCGCTGGAATGCGCACCCAGCGTCAAGACCACTACACTACGAAGGCATGCTAAGAAGGTGGGAGAAATACCTTTAGTTATAGTACTGCTACTGCTGCTGGTAGTTCTAGTACTGCTAGTGCTTCTAGTACTTGTAATATTTCTAGTACTAGAACTACCACTCCTACTAGTACTAGTACTGCTACTTCTCCTACTAGTACTACTTCTATTAATACTATTATTTTTAAGAAGAAGAAGAATTATTGATATAAGTAAATTGCACGGCTATCTGACAGTTGGGAGATGACCGTGATAGTTGAGCTTGGTTCAGATATCGACAAGTTATTAATCCCATTTTTCAAATTAGGGTTTTAAAGAGTCAAAACCTGAATAAGGTAATATTTGCATCAAATATAGATTGTGTCCTCAAGAGCTTTTAGCCGTCCTTTATTTTCAAAACTGTTGAATCATAGACATATACTTCGAGCTACAAAATTATTTTAAATATCGCAAATATTTAAATTTAGTCATTTTTAAATTTAAAGTAAACAGTTTAGTAAAAACAACGAAAACTAATTTGAGCAGTTCCTATAGTTATAGTTAGGAAAATTTTATATTGGTTATGAAAACGTGAGGCGCCTTTGATAACTTATTCTTTTTACAATGTAATTTGATTTCATTAGTTAGGCTTTCACGCTTTTATTATTCGCAATATAAAATTGCAGACGAATTTTGTAAAGAGAAATATTTAATATCTTATTTCCGTTAAACAATGATGACAAGTTATTTTTCTCTTTTTAGTTTATAAGGTATTTCTCTCACCTTCCTATCATGCTTTCGTGGTGTAGTGGTTCTGCACGCTGGGCTTGTATTTCAGAGGTCCGTGGTTCGATTCCCGGCGAAGGCGATTGCTGATTTTTCATCTCTCCAGCTTCCGAAAAAATACAGAATGTCTCTACAGTGAGGCCCGAACTAAGAAGGTGGTGAATGACGCTTTCTTCCCTGGGTCCACTAAAAACCCCAGTCGCCCTTTAAAAAGGGGAGTATATAAGGTATTTCTCCCACCTTCCTAGCATGCCTTCGCGGTGAAGTGGTTCTGCAGGGCTGCGCCGGTATTCTAGAGGTCCGTGGTTCGATTTCCGGCGAAGGCGAGTGCTCATTTTTCAACTCTCCAGCTTCCCCCCCCAAAAAAAATACCTAATGTCTCTACAATTTCATTAATTATTTTATGAGTTTTAAACTAAAACCTTATTTATAAAAATATTTCTCGCTCTTTTTTTTTTTTTTTTTTTTTTTTTTTTTTTTTTTTAATTTTGCTTATTTTTCATCTTTTTAGCACCAGAGGCACATTATCAATTACATTATTCAATTGAAAAAAAAAAAAAATTTTTCTACACTTTTTTCACTTCCAACAATTCTGAGCTACTTTGCCAATACATTAAAATGTCATTTAAAATGTTTTTGCGCTGTATCTGAAGATTAAAACAGTAAAATTCTGGGAGTTTTAGTTTCTTTCGTTAAACAAAAATATGTGCAGAAAATCGTTTAACATTAGATTTAAAGAAATTTAAATCAAATTTTGGAAAAATCGTTGCAACTCATTCATCATGTCATCCGAATTATGTATGTATGTGAGTGCAAATTTTGAGCTCGATTGCTTGCTTACCAGGAAATAGTTTAACAATGAATGTCATAGTCTTTTTTCTGCAATGATAAACACCATGAACTGGTTATTGTTCTGATATAGTACATATTTTGACGCAAAACCAGACTTTTTCTGAAAAGACAAGCCGATTTTTTCCATATTCCGATTCTGAGACTCAAACTGTGCCTCACGGCTAAGTTCTGTAAAAATCGTAATATTAATTTTTAAAAAATTAGCTCTCAAAATTTCAGCTCCTCAGTGTTAATATATTTATTAATATCTCTTTTTTATTAAAGTTAAATAATTGCTTTTTCCACAAGTCTAAATTTAGATTCAGTTCAAATAAAAATCGCAGATATTTTCGGATTTATTTTTAAAGTTTGCATTTTTTAGTAGTTTTTTAGAAACATTTTTAGAAAAAAATTAATTATGACCTATAAAAGTTTTGCTATCACCTTAAAGTATATGTATTTTTAGGCATACCTGAAAAAATTAGAGCATTTTTTTTGAAAAAGTTTTATTTTTTTTTCAAAGAGATTTTATTCGAAATTTCCCAAGATACATGTTAATTTATATTTTGGCATGCTACCCAACCGGGATAGTGGACCGTGGTTGTCCTAGGTTTGAATCTCAGAGAAGTCATGGATGTTTGGAAGCGTACAGTGTCTGTGCGGCAAAGGGGCACTTAAAATACAAGGAGAGCCGAAAGTGCTCTCTAGATGATGGCAGGACGAGAGGGAGCGAGAGACCCTCTGGTCGCCCTTTTCCGGGGAGTTCTTCCTCAAAATTTTGTCTGTTAGCTAAGTTCAGTAATACCTCAATCATCTGTGGTATTACAGCAGTTGCTGGTCTAGCTTCTAACTGTACCTGTATGAAAAACCTGACCACACTTATTCACCCACACTTTCTTCAGTTTAGAAATAAAATTCAGTTTCTTCAGCCTGAGGTTGTCTTTTATTTATAATTATTATTTTTAATCATATTCATGGGCAGCCGCTTATAAAATTTTGTCCAGGCTTTAGTAAGCTAGCTCTCAGCTTCCAAAACGCGTTTTTCAGAAATTTTCAGAAAATCGCCAAACTGGCGGGAAAGGATGTTGTCTGCCAATATCTTTAGTTCTAGATGAATTATTTTCGCAATTTGCAAATAGTTAGATTCAAAATCGCAAGCTATAGGACCACATGAAAAGTCCTCCCGTTTTTTTTTGCCACTAGATGGTGTAGATGCCTATATATCCGGCAACACTCACCCGATTGTTTCAAACGAACATATGCTTAAAAGGTGACATTTATCTGAATGTCACTTTTAAAAATATGTTCCATTGTTTGTGAAAAGAGTTTTCTAATTCGTTACTTGTGTAAAAAGTTATATTGATTTGAAAATGAGTGAAATATCTGAAGAAATACGTTATGTGATGCTTTATTACTATAAAAAAGGTAAAAAGGCTGCAAAAACATACCGAAAAATTTGTGAAATGTTTGGTGAGAATGCAGGAGTGGTTTGCTCGATTCCCTTCCAGGAATTTCGATATCAAAGATTCACCTCGACCAGTCACTGAAAAAGTCGATGAAATTTTGCAACTGGTGGAGCAAAATGGATGAAATTTTGCAACTGGTTTCTGGCACGTAAGCTGCCAGGAAATAGCAGAGGCACTAGCATCAACCACATTTGAAAAGAGCAAGTTACAAAAAGAAGCTCAATGTTTGGGTGCCACATCAATTGCAACCTGGCGAAACCATCAATTCGGCTCTGTACTGTGCACAACTCGACCGTTTGAACGAAGCAATACAAAAAGAGCGGCCAGAATTGTCCAAAAGACAGGGAGTTGTGTTCCAGCATGACAATGCGCGGCCATACACATCTTTGATGACTCGGAACAAATTGATGGAATTTGGTTGAGAAGTTTTGATGCATCCACCATATAGCCCAAGCCTTGCACCGTCTGACTACTATTTTCTTTGGTCTCTGCAAAACTTGGCCGACCGAAGTGCCACTGAAATCACTCGCTCAAGTTTTTCGACGATAAATCACACAAGTTCTACACCGATGTAATTATGAAGCTATTTGAAAAATGGCAAAAGATAATAGATAATAATCGTCAATATGTACTTGATTAAAATTGATTTTCAATAAAGAAAACGTTTGTTAAAAAATGTACCAAAAAAAAGCACAAAGAGTATATGACCCATTATGTAATTCTGTAATTCAAACAGACAAAAATACATTTAATTCAATTATACAAAAATACATCTAAAGTTATTGTACAAAATACAGTAATTAAACACACAAATATAAAATAATATATATTGTTACGCATACCAGACACGCACACCAAAAAGGAACAAGAATTCAATCAAATTTAAACAAATATTTAGAGAACTGTACAGCAGTACACATAATAAATATCTCTTATATTTTAAACAGTATAAATTATCTCTTATATTTTAAAAGTGAAGAATTAAAACTAATTAAAGTAAGAAATGTTGCCGGTCTCTGAGCAAGGGCCCAAGAGTAGATAATTTTATTTGGAGAACTGGCAGTATTTTAAATTAATGAAAAATGCAATTTGTTTTACTTTCGTCAGAACTTTTCAAGAAACACTGGAGAAACTTAGTATCAGAGGCCGACCAAAAGTCCAGAAGTCATTGATATGTAATTCATTTGTTGAAGGAATAAACTTCAAACTCATGACTTGAGTTTCTTATTCCTTACGGACAGCATTTTAAATAATTAACTTATCTACCAAATCCGAAGCTTTGCTATAATTAAAATAAATGTCAGAGGAATTTTATGTGAAGGATTTATAACTCTGCTAATTTAATTAACTCTGCTGTTTGTAACCTTCATTATGATATATGCATATTTATTAATTTTGATATCACAAATTCATAATCATGAAAGTTGTTTCTTAATTTTATTTTCCAAAATTTCTAGGAATTCAGTATAAAAAGTAAATGCATTTGGAAATACGTTGGCATCAAGAGTAAGTAAATTTATCTTCTTTTTATGTTTTGTGATAATTTATACAAATGTATTTTTTACTTTCCTGTACGAAGTAA